TTTTTTTTTTTTTTTTTCCTTTTTGTCTTTTTTCGTGACCGGCAACGGATTGCAACCCTCAGTGTCGCGCCCGTACCGGACCGGGACCGGCAACGGGATCACAACCCTCGGTGTCGTGCCCGCAGCTCGCTCAGCCAGTGAGCGGGAACCGGTCTGTATATGGGATCCGAACCCTCGGCGGGAGCGCCGCCACGCTCCCAAGCGGCGCACTGTAGCAGTGCGCCACCGGGCCGGCCCCAGGTGTAGAATAATTTAAAAATAGTTTTAGATGGCATAGGAAATGTTCTGGAAGGATATATACCAAATTGATGTCAGTGGTTAATGTTGGGGAGAGGAAGGAGGTGGTGAGGGGGATACTTTTTACTTCATATGTGAGGGCACTTCAGAAAATCCATGGAAAGATTCTTATTATCTTTTAATTATATTTTTCCATGAACTTTTTGAATACCCTCATATTTCTATATTGTTTAACATGTTATTTCAACAATTAAATGAAACTATGAACTATATGTCAATAAATTTGAAAATCTGGAGGAAATGGATAAATTTCTTTACACATACAAACTATCAAGTTTGAACCAAGAAGACATAGAAAAACTGAACAGACCAATAACAAGCAACAGGATGGAAGCAGTAATCAGAAATCTTCCAAAAAAGAAAAGTCCAGGACGAGATGGCTCCACTGCTGAATTCTACCAAACCTTTAAAAAGGAATTAATACCAGTTCTTTCCAAACTATTCTAAAAAATTGAAACAGAAGCCATTCTCCCAAACTCATTCTATGAAGCCAGCATCACCAATACCAATACCAGACAAAGATACAACAAAAAAAGAAAACTACAGGCTGATACCCTTGATGAATTTAGATGCTAAAATCCTCAACAAAATACTAGCAAACAGAATACAGCAACATATCAAAAGGTTTATACATCATTATCAAGTGGGATGCATCCCAGGAATGCAAGGATGGTTCAACATATCCAAGTCAATAAATGGGATACACCACATCAAGAAAGTGAAGAACAAAAACCACATGATCATCTCAATAGATGCAGAAAAAGCATTTGACAGAATTCAACAGTACTTCATGATAAAGACTCTCAACAAATTAGGTATAGAGGGAAGGTATCTCAACATAACAAAAGCAATATATGATAAACCCAATATCATCCTTAATGGGGAAAAGCTGAAAGCTTTCCCCTTAAAATCAGGAACAAGACAAGGATGCCTGCTCTCTCCACTCCTTTTTAACATAGTTTTCGAAATACCTGCCAGAGCAATTAGACAAGAGAAAGAAATAAAGGGCATCCAAGTAGGTAAAAAGGAAATCAAATTGTCCCTGTTTGCAGATGACATGATTCTATATATAGAAAACCCAAAAAGCTCTACCAAAAAATTCTTAGAGCTGATAAATGAATTCAGTAAGGTTGCAGGATACAAAATGAACATACAAATATCAGTAGCATTTTTATACTCCAACAACAAACTAGACGAAAAGGAGATCAAGAAAGCAAGCCCATTTATAATAGTCTCCAAAAAAAAAAAAAAAAAACCTTGGAATAAATCTAACCAAAGAGGTGAAAGATCTCTACAGTGAGAACTACAAATCACTTCTGAAAGAAACTAAAGACACTAAGAGATGGAAAGATTTCTTGTTCATGGATTGGAAGAACCAATGTAGTAAAAATGTCCATACTACCCAAAGCCATCTACGGATTCAATGCAATCCCCATCAAAATACCAAAGGCATTCTTCACAGATATAGAAAAAGCAATCCTAACATTCATATGGAACAACAAAAGACCCCGAATAGCCAAAGCAACCCTGAGCAGAAAAAATAAAGCTGGAGGCATTACACTTCCTGACTTCAAACTATATTACAAATTTGTAGTAACAAAACCAGCATGGTACTGGCATAAAAACAGACATGTGGACCAGTGGAACAGAATAGAGAACTCAGAAATCAACCCACATATGTACAGCCTAATGAAAAAGGCACCAAGAACATACATTGGGGAAAAGACTGCCTCCTCAATAAATGGTGCTGGGAAAACTGGATATCCATTTATAGAAGGATGAAATTTGATCCATACCTTTCACCATATACCAAAATCAACTTGAAATGGATTAGAGACCTTAATATAAGGCTTGAAACTTTAAAACTCATAGAAGAAAACGTAGGGGTAATGCTCCAGGATTTAGGACTGGGCAATGACTTTATGAATAACACTCCAAAAGCACAGGCCACAAAAGAAAAAATAAACAAATGGCATTATATCAAACTAAAAAGCTTCTGCACAACAAAGGAAACAATCAGTAGAGTGAAATGACATCCTACAGAATGGGAGAAAATATTTGCAAAAAATGTATCTGATAAAGGATTAATATCCAGAATATACAAAGAGCTCAGACAACTTTACAGCAAAAAAACAAATAATCCAATTAAAAAATGGGCAAAGGAGCTGAATAGACATTCCTCAAAGGAAGACATACAAATGGCTGACAGGTATATGAAAAAATACTCAACATCACTAATCATAAGGAAAATGCAAATCAAAACCACTTTGAGATACCACCTCACCCGAATCAGACTGTCTATTATAAAAAAGAAAGAAAATAACAAATGTTGGTGAGGATCTGGAGAGGGAAGAACCCTCCTGCACTGTTGGTGGGACTGTAAATTAGTACAGCCATTATGGAGAATAGCATGGAGGTTCTTTAAACAACTACAGATAGAACTTCCATATGATCCAGCAATCCCACTCCTGGGGACATATCCAGAAGATTGTAAAACATCAGGTCAAAGGAATACTTGCACTCCCATGTTTATTGCAGCTCTATTTACAATAGCCAGGTGATGGAACCAACCTAAATGTCCATCAATGGATGACTGGATAAGAAAATTGTGGTATACATACACAATGGAATACTTACTCAGCCATAAAAAAGAATGAAATTCTACCATTTGCAACAACATGGATGAGCCTGGAGAAAATTATCCTGAGTGAAACAACCCAGGTACAGGAAGAGAAATACTGCATGTTCTCACTCTAACTGGGAGCAGAATCCATAAATAAACAAATGAACAATAAAGAGAGACAGAGAGAAAGAAAGAAACAAACAACAATCACAGTAATACATTGAACTTTTAGAAAACTAGATGTGGAAAAGGAGAGGGGAGGGGAAGAGGGAGGGGGGCTAATGAGGTGAGGAATTGGTTAATGGACACAAAGAATGATTGCATATTGTAATGACGAATAAGCTAACTATACTGATCTAACCACCACACATTCTATACAATTACTGAAAATCAACATTGTACCCCACATGTATGTATAATAAAAAATAAAATAAAAAATAAAATAAAATCCAATGAATAATATTATTAATGATGATGATGATGATTTTTATAGTGTCTAGTACTAAGCAATCACTACGTGTCAAAGCACTATTCTAAGCACCTTCCATTTAGTAACTCATTTAATCCACACCACAACAACGAGGCAATAATATCACCACTCCATTTTACAGGTCAAGAAACTTAGATACATAGAAGCATGTTAGGTGATCAGCCCAAAGTCATAACATTAGTAAGAGACAGGCTTGATTCAAACCAGAGTCTGGAAAAACTGAATTCAAATCCCCAATGCACTCCTCAATTAGGCCAATGAATGAGTGAGCACGTTAAATGTGGCGAGCCGTTTAACCTCTTGAAGCCTCAGTTTTCCCATTAGCAATATGAGAAAGTAACAAAACCTACTTCATAGGATCATTGTTTGTAAAGCACTTAGCATTATAATAAGCATTCAATAAATGGCAGCTATTACTGCTGTCATTATTAACCAGCATGAAACAGACATTCAGAAAATAAACCAATATTAGATCTTTATCTAATTTTAGGACCAATAAAATTAGATGCAAGATTTAAAACTCAGAAACAGTGTCCCAAAGTAGGAACCTATCATGATGTCATGATCCTCTGAAATCTGGAATTAGTAACAGTCACCTACCCCCCAAAATATTGTGAGAATGGTGTATACAAGGGGGAACATACAAGTGTTGGAAAAATGATGAGGCAGTATCATGCACTTCAGAGCTGGAAGGGGCTGTGAGGAGACACTTGTTCATCAGCTGGACCATTCAACCCTCTCACTGAGAACAGTATACTCATTTGGTTACTGGTTTATGGTTTAGGTTATTTCTTTAGAATTGGAAGTTCTGTCTTCATATCCTAGCTCATTTAAAACCAAAGCCTTAGTTTTTCCATCTATAAAATTGAGAAAATAGAGCTTACTTTCCATAATAGTAGAAGGTTTAAATGAAATAATACATGCAAAGTGGCAAATATTCAATGAATTGTAAATATTCAACAAAGTGGTAAATATTCAACAAATTGTAATTATTAGGATGATTATTGCCAAGATTAGTGCCGTTTCCTGGGGGAAACAGATTCACAACCAACTATGAGAAAATGTGGCCAGTGTCAACAAAGTGCTAAGAGGGGGCACAGAGCGACACAGGTGTAC